GGCATCGGAGGTCACAAGGTACAGCATCATGACCTGGCTAGGGTAGTCGGGTTTTGGTTCCATTAGGGTTTAGGGTTAGGGTTTAGGTTTTGGTTCCATGGAGGTCTAATGTAGAGGCCTTGACGATTAGAATAGGGCTTGGGAGTATAATAAACGATCATTATAGTAAGGAACCCCCAACACCCTATTCCAATTATTAAAGGCCTCTACATAAGGGGAGCATTTTGCAGCCCGGGGTTCAAATCATTCTGCCGGCTGGCCTGGGCTTACGAACCCAAAGTGTCCTATGGTTTACTATGGTAGGAGTTTCTATTATGATCTGGGGTTTAGGGTTTAGGATTTAGGGATTATGATTTGTGGTTTAGGGCTTAGGGTTTAATTTAAGGTTCCATATTAGGAGTTACTATTCTGATTTGGGGAAGTATCACCCATAACAGTACCTTATAAGTACTAGTCCCCTATATGATATGAGATATAAGTATAGTTTCCCTACTTATACCTACCCCTGAACCTCCAAGTAGGGCTTAGGGTTTACAGTTTAGTGATTGAGGCTTCAGAGTGTATTGTTCGGGGCTTAAGGTTAATGGTCATGGCACGGACAGGACACTATGAGCTGTCCATGACTGCACAGGACGTAGTCTGAGCGGCTCCAAGTCGCAGCTTCGTGCTGCCCTCGAAGTCGCTCTTCTAAATATCTAGTGCTGCTTCACAGCAGTTAGCGCCGCTTTGTAAGAACAGATCATCTGATCAAGCTTCATTTGCGCAGGAGTCTAACCCTAAACTCTAAACCCTGAACCCTAAACCCGAAACCAGACAACTGTCGGCCGGTGATATCCCCAGCTTTGTCTCACGGGCTTGGTTCCCCAAAGCGCCCTGAACCTCCAAGTAAGCCCTATACCCTCATAGAACCCCTATAGATCCCTTTAAAGGGACCCTTAAAGGAACCCTTTCAAAAACCCTGAGCCCGAAACCCATGGTGTCTTGGCCCCATGCAAGATGCGAGCGCGAGGAGCAGCCATGGACCTCACAGCTCGGGGTTTACCTATCGTCTCCATCTAGGCCCAAAAGTATCCTAGGAATAAAAAGGGTGCCCTTTTTGGTTTGAAGGGGCTTATAAGGGAACCTGAACCCGACAAACAGGGAATAAGGGCCTACTCTAGGTCCTAGCCACTGTAGCCAAAAGGAACTACGGTTTAGGGCTTAGGGGTTTAAGGGGTTTAGGGTTTAGGGTTGAGGGTTTAGGGTTGAGGGGTTTAGGGGTTTAGGGCTTACCTGTAGTCTCCACTGTAGTTCCTTTTTGGTTAACCAAAATCTCTATTATAGGATCCTAACCACAAAACTGGTTAACCAAAAAAGGAACTACAATGGAGACTACAGGTAAGGTTCAGCATGAAGGGTTCAGGGTTCAGAGTTTGGGGGTTAGGGTTTAGGATTCGGATTTCAGGGGTTGAGGGTTCAGAGTTCGGGTTTAAGGGTCAGGATTGATAAGAATAGGAATGTATGGGTTATCGTTTAGGATTCAGTTTTTGAGGATTTTTAAGGGTTGGGGTTCAGGATTCGCGGGTTTAGGGTCTAATCTCGGACTGCTTTGCTTCGAAGTGCTTCAAGGAGAAACACTGGCATGCACATACATCAACAAATGGCAGAACACCTGTGCAGAATCTTGCAAAAGCGTACACGAACATTTGTATGGTCACACATAAGTTTACACACACTTTTCGAAAGCCCACATGCACAAAGGGGACCCCGGTAACAAGACTAAAGCTGCCAGCAGGCGCCTGCAGCCGGAGCCCCAAAAGCAATTCTAGACCCTCAGAAGCGCTCCACTCTGAAAGATCCTTTTCTTTCTGCCACCAGGTAGCACCAACATTAGGACAGGAGTTCAACCAATGGACGCAGCTTCAAACGTCGGAGATGGTAACACGCAATGGTGGAGTACACAGGACGAAAGGAACAACCTCTTCTGAGAGAAAACCTGACGCCTCGTCGGGCAACCCGTGCAAAAAACCTCTCTGCCGACCTACCAACAGGAACCCAGCAACAAGAGTACCACAACATGCTGTAGCCTGGCATTGTATCGCCGAAAGTGCCAGCCGTGCAAGTTAATTCAGGGGCCTCAATCACCAGAATAGAGTTCCGGTATGTGCTTTACATAATAATTAACAATTAGTCTAACCGCAGGAAGGAACAAAATCGGTTCAAGCTTCCATATTAACGGTATGAAACTTCCAAGCCCCAATTTCTTTTTAATAGCAAAAGATCTGGAGGTCCGCACGGCTGTGGAGCAGGTAGCGCGATGGGATTGGCCCGCACGCAACGCAGCCTGTGAACAGATGCGAAGTTCCAGGACTACACCGAAGCCTACGAGCTACCTGGACCCTTAGAGACCTACCTTTTTAGGGTTCCGTAGTAGGATTTTCTTATGTGAAGCCTTAAAAAGGTAGGATACTTGCAGTTTAGGTATGCATTGGTATGCATTGGTTCTACAGGGACCAAGGCATGGGGTTTCGTACTCTTTGGCCTAGTAATTGCTGTGCCTGCGACCCATGAAGGCAGGTTACCACGTCGTAGGGGTAAGACCAGCACGGTTCATCTTGATGGCGAAAAGCTGAGGTTTGGGTCGAGACAGATTTCGCTTGAAGATTCTACCCATCCAAGGATTGAGTAGCGTACGTGTATGTGGCCTTTGCCCCCCTGCTGTTGCAACCTCCTGCACCAAATAGATGGGAGTTTCCGAAAATGGGGGACCCTAATATAGTACCCTGAAAAGTATGATCCATATTATAAGGACCCCAAAAGAAGGTACCCCAGACTTTCGGAAACTCGCAGATGGGACTTGAAGCCTTGAAGCAGCAAGTGTAACGAGGGTTTAGTAAGGCCTGGCGGATGATCTCGAACCCGACACCTGGAGCCTGGAACCCCAACGGTGAACCCGAATAAAGGAGCTTTGAAAATTGGAACTTGTTCGTGAAGCCTTGATCCGTCTTCAGCTGAAGTGTTCGCGGGGGTGGCCTAAATTAGAGTGGCACGTTTACACCTCCGAAAAATGTTCGTAAATAAGATCCTGTTATGTCCAATGTAAACTGTCATAAAAGCCACCTGGTAAAGACTCAGAGCCCGAAACCCTGGCTAACCCTGGCTTCCACCGTTGTCCTGGCATCCCTTTCTTTCGTTTAGAGCCCTATACCCTGGACCCAACCCCCCTTTAGGAGCCCTTGGAGGACAATTACTAAAGGAACCCGTGGCCTAGGCCGCTGCAGGCTCAGGGAAACAGCTACCCATGGAAAAAAGGGTTGAAGGTTTATAGTTGAGGGTTTAGGGTGCCTTCGACCCGAATTCCCAAAACAAACTTAAGCGTAAGCCGTTACACTGTTACACTTCAGCTCTACCTGTAGTCTCCATTGTAGTTCCTTCTCTTGGTTTAACCAGTTACATAGTAAGGATCCTATAAGGTAACCCCAAAAAGGAGCTACAATGGAGACTTCAGCTCTAAGCCCCCGATGTTGAGCAGAGCCTTCCGCACTCAGCCACGTACTGACCAAGTCTCCACTGTGCAGCACCGAAGCACTTTGGGCTAACAAACAAACCCTAAACCCTAAACCTTCCGCGACGGCTGTGGACGGAGCAGCGCGCCGGTCTTCGAACATCACGAAGCCGCTGTGGCGGATATCGAAGGCTCTATACCATGGGACTGCCGCCTCAGTCGAGTAGGTCTTCCACGCCACGGATCGTGTACTGCATGACCTCATCGCCTTTGGCATTCACCCACTTTTTTCGCTTCAGGATCCACTTTTGACGAACCTCGCCCAGCGCATTGAGAGCATCCAGGAAAGCCTGACTAACACACCACACATCGCAAAACTGGCCGCAAAATTACTGCTGCCCCGCGCACTCTGCATCAGACTCCCATGGCGCCTGGCGACCGGCTTCCTCTTCACTGGCACTCCACAATGTCTCAAGTTAGTCCGTAGGTCAGCGGCGAGCATTCCATGTCACTTGCCCACCATGTCGCCTTGCGTCCTTCAGCTCGATTTCCAGACGTGCTTTGCCATCGCCCACCAGAACATCCCGTTCGAAAACAAATTCGTCCAGCGGCTGCATCCCTAAATCCCTGAACCTCATGAGTCCTGTCTTCAAACCCAATGAAAAAAGTGGAAGCATGTATCCTCCACCAGTCGTTTTAAGTTTAGGGTTGAGGGTTTCGTGCCAGAGAGTTGAGAGCTTTGGGTTTAGGGTGTTAGGGGTCTAGGGCTTTGGGGTTGTGTGTGTTTAATTCAAGGGTAAAAGGAGGGACCCTTAATAAGGACCCCTAGGTATAAACCCATGATATAGCCATTATATACCCGTTATATAGCCCATTATAGGGTAGTAGGGTCCCCATAAGGGTCCCTCCTTTTCCCCTTTGATTTAAGGTTTAGGCCAGTTCCGGCTTGGGGTCCCGGAATTGCGGGTTTCATAATGTTTGACCTAGAGGCTCCATAGTAGTTGCTTTTTGGTGCTCATATTTAGAACCCTATAAGGTAATACTCAAAAGGAACTACTATGGAGCCTGGGGGTAATTGGTGCATCTGAAGCAATTGAGACAGCCTCTGCTGCTGATTATTACGGGAACTGGAAATATGCACCAAAGAACTCACATTTGTAAGGCTGAAGCCCGAAAACCCGAAACTCGATTTGAACATTCAAGCCGATTCAAGCCCAAACCCTAAGGGTCCCTCAGGGTCCATGTGCCCAGATGGTACATATTTTGCTTACAGTAGTCCCTATTCATATAGCCCCAACTGTGTACTATACCGGTATATGGACCCCCTTAAAAGTAAACTCCCAAACCCCTAAACCCTTAAACCCTAAACCCCTAATCCCTAAACCCCTAAACCGTAAATCCCTAAACCCTAAACCCCTAAAACTCTAAATCCCTAAACCCTAAACCCCTAACCCCTAAACCCCTAAACCCCTAAACCCTAAACCCCTAAACCCCTTACTTTCGAGTCCCTTGCCGCCTGCAAGCTCCTCAGCATGCTGCCGCTGCCACGCGAGATCTGACGCTGTGAAGCCCCCTGGGGCGTGGGTCTTATCATAGGGACCCTAAAATCCCTTCATTAAGGAATATACCTTAAATCATATAAGGGATCCTATTATAATTTAAGGTATATTCCTTAAATAAGGGGTTTTGGCGGCTCTGGGTAGTCTCCATTGAAAGTTCCTTCTTTTCTAGACCCAAGAGTAACCTAGGAATAAAAAGGGTGCCCTTTCTGGTTTAAAGGGGCTTATAAGGGAACCTGAACCCTAAAAAAGGGAATAAGGGCCTACTCTAGGTCCTAGTAACGGGGTAGGGGGTTAGGGTTTATAGGGTTTAGGGAAGGGGGGGGGGCGGGTCCTGGGAAGCTCAACAACCCTGAAATCGAAAAATCCTAAAACCCTGAATCCTGAAACCTCGAACCATCAGTTCTTCCCCAAAGGGTCCTAAGTACCTATATTCGATGGTAGGAACTACTATGATTATGGTTTGGGAAACTCCTAAATAGGGACTACTTTCAGGCCCAAATATATAGTATTCGGGTACCGATTAGTGCTAGGATCCCTTATACTGCATTTTAAGGGCATGAGGATAATGATGTTCCAACTTTCCGGCTCCTACTATCAAAGGGGAAAAGGAGGGACCCTTAATGGGGACCCCTATCCTATAATGGGCTATATAATGGGCAGACACTAGCTAGATTAAGGGTATATATCTAGGGGTCCTTATTAAGGGTCCCTCCTTTTACCCTGGAAATCCAAACCCAAACCCAAACCCTCAACCCCTAAACTTCCCTAAACCCTAAAACCCTAAACCCTCAACCCTAAAACCCTAAAAACCTAGAACCCTAAAACCCTAAAACCTTGAACCCTAGGAGACTATCAACCCTAAGCTGTTTTTGTTCAAAAAATCGGGCCTGCAACGTAGCGCTGCTCGTGGGCGTTGGCATCTTTAGCCTCGAAGGTGGGTTTTGTTAGTTCCTTTAAGGGTTCAGGGTTGAGGGTTGAGGGTTTAGGGTTGAGGGTTGAGGGTTTAGGGTTCAGGGCTTAGGGTTTAGGGTTCAGGGCTTAGGGTTTAGGGTTTATGGTTCAGGGCTTAGGGTTTAGGGTTTAGGGTTCAGGGTTCATCCGGACTTGTGTGGTCGGTCCACGGGCAACGAGGCTAGCGATGCGGGCCTCTATGCCTTTTGTACAGTATCAGTCCGAGGCAACGCTTCAACGAAATTAAGCACCAAATTAACGAGCCGACATCAAAGAAACGAATTACTCACGACGAATTGACAATGAATCAATATCTCGCAAGTCAGGTCGGAATGACAAGTTTGGCCTCTTTACCGATGTCTTCGTGGATAATTGCCTACGGAGGTCGACAAAAGCCGCGTGGAAACAAAAGGTCTCATGACATGGCCTGCTTGTCAAACCGGGTGTGCACTGCGACCAGCTCAATTTTGCGGTCGAAGCGGTGGTTTTGACATTGACATGTGGAACAAATGCGCTTTGAAATCGCGCCTCAATACAGGAAATAAAGTACCTAAAAGTTTTCAACAGCTGCACAGTCGTAGGTTCCACAAGCACAAAGTCTCTGGTAACATGGGTTCAGGGTTCAGGGTTTAGGATTTAGGGTTTAGGGTTCAGGGTTTAGGGTTTGTAGGGTTTAGGGCTTAGGGTTTCGGGTTTAGGGTTGCGGTTTAGGCTAAGGGCTTGGAGTTTAGGGTTTAGATGTTGGTTCCTTTTAGGGGTCCTCTTGGACGTACCACAACGGTGCTCTGCCCATAGGCTCTATAGTAGTTCTTGTTAGGAGTACCTTACAGATTCTCAATATGAGCCCAAAAACGAACTACTATGGAGCCTCTAGGTAAGGGTTTTGCGGGGTCTTAGATTAGGTGCCACCATCCTTCCTAGTCCTTTCAGAACGTTACTAGGGATGGGGTTTAGGGTTTGGGGCTTTGGGCATGGGTTATATGCTTCAGTTACCCCGGCTTCGCCGGCAGCTCGCCATGCAAGAAGGGGTGTTTTTACCGCCCGGCTTCTGAGGGAAGACCTGCACCGGAAAGTGTAAGTTACTAGACTTGGCTGGAGCTCTGTATGGATTCTTACTTGCCAACTCTCCATCGGTGTTGAACTTTTTGAACGTATGAACTACTTCCTGAACCCGCCCAGGAAGACCATTTCCACCGAAACACCCCGAAAGGTATAAAGCAATACTACGTAACCTGCCGGGTTATGCATTGTTGGGGCCCCTTCCTAAAGCCCTCAGCCCTCAGCCTTTTTTAAACCAAAACCTCTCAACCAAACACCCGACAGCCTAAGCCCTGCAAAACCGTAAACCCGAAATCCTGTAAACCCTCCTCCAAACCGCGTTATAAATCTTACCCTCGACACCTTCAACCCGAAACCCTAATCTTAAGGGTCCATGTACCCAAATAGTACATATGCTGTTACTTTGGGCCCAATGTACCTAAATAGGGACTACCTTACGGCCAATGTATATACTATTTGGGTACATGGGATCCTTAGAGGGGTAAAACACTCCTAGCAAAACGCTAAACCCACACCGGCACCTGGGTGGTTCCGGAGGATGAGCGACATCCGGAACCAGCAGGTCCTCACCGAGGGTTGAGGCCTTTACGCCTTTTCCTAAGGGTCCAAAGGATACAATAATTAGGTACTCGGTTTTAGGATAGTAGTCATGTAGGTTACTGTTGGAGAGTATGAGAGTATATGAGAATTGGGTACTTGGACCCTTAGGGTTTGGGCTTACAGCTTATCGGGTTTAGGCCACAGCTTGCAGGGAACTTCAAAACGAACTTACACATAGGAAGGACAACAAGGCTGCTCTTCAAAACACACGCACGCACACACACAGAGAGTGACAGGGAGACTGTTCAGCAAGTCAGCATTCTGACGGGAGGCGAACTCGAACTCACTTCCCAACATTTTGTTGTGTATTGAGTATTGAGCATCCCTTCGCATGAGGGCATTCCAATATTCCGATACTAAAATGCCTTCTTGGTGAAATAGATGCGAGGTTTCTTCAACCAGACAGGAGACCCAAATGCAACGACGCGCTCATCGTGCCAACTCCGCTTTCGAAAAGAGTCGGCTCTCCTAAACCCTAAACCTCCGATCCCTAAGCCGTATACCACGTCTTTAGGGTTTATTAGAAACCCTAAATCCCTAAACCCGTATTGCGGTACAATTTAGCTGGACTTTGAAGTAACAAGGGAGAAAAAAGTATAGACTTCTATTTCAGAAGGGTTCCTTTAAGGAACAAGTACCCCCAAAAAGTATTCAAGTATGGTACTCCAAACTCAGGTTAGTAGCATAATGAATAAGCAATAGCAAGAAAACGTAAACAGGTGTGTAGACTCCGGTACTTTGAGGGGTACGATTGGTATCTGTTCGGACCTCTGAGTTGTGTTAGTAAGCCCCCCCCCGCCCCCCCCCCCCCCCACCCGGAACTGCTCGTTGTAGATCTCCACAATCTGCACCTGCTCTCCCACGTGCTGCAGGCTTTGCGGTGTGATGCCATAGTGTGATTGCTTTACGCTCCTAGACCCAAGAGTATCCTAGGAATAAAAAGGGTGCCCTTTTTGGTTTAAAGGGGCTTAGAAGGGAACCTGAACCCTAAAACAGGGAATAAGGGCCTACTCTGGGTCCTAGGCTCCAGATGCTGAAGCATCTTGCAGCTTGCTAATGGGTTGAGTTCTAGATTCTAGATGCCCCCCGCTCATATCCAGAAACAAATCCGATACCAGCGATGCACCGCGAAATACCCTAAACCCTAAACCCTCAACCCTAAACTCCTAAGCCCTAAGCCGAGTTACAAGAATGAGCCCTAAGCGCCTAAGCAAGCGAGACCAAAACTGGAATCTGCCTTGGGCTGGCATGATTGATATCATTGGTAGGTGCACATTTGAACAGCTCACATCTCCGAGCAACTGAGAGTTTGACTGGAGGGTGGCTTTGTGAGGATCGTTTTAAGGGCCGATGTGCGAGTGTGTGTGTGTGTGTGTCCCATATTTTCCAGAACTGCCGCGCATCTAGCCTAGGCAGTCCTCCACGGACGAGTTATGGGCGCTGTGATGGCGGAAAGGCTCTTGACTGCGACTCTGCCTGCTTCTGCTGTCGTGGTACAGTCTATTAGGGTTTGGGTTTATATAGGTTACATAGGGTTTGGGGCTTTTGGGATTAGGGTTAGGGTTTAAGGTTTGGGGCTTTTGGGATTAGGGTTTGGGTTTAGGGCAGTTGGGGTTTGCGATTCAGAGTCCGACCCCAAAGCCTGAATTGGAATGCTTCGCAGACTGAGGCGATGACGACCACATCCAGACGCAAGCCCTCCTTCTCCAAGGCTTCTGCCTTGTCAATTGCTAGACCTAAGAGTAACCTAGGAATAAAAAGGGTGCCCTTTTTGGTTTAAAGGGGTTTCTAAGGGAACCTGAACCCTAAAAAAAGAAAATAAGGGCCTACTCTGGGTCCTAGATTGGTGCCTGTGAATTCAAAACTGAGGGGTCTGTGTTCCTGCTTCCTTCCGAAAATCATCAAGCCCTTAACCCTAAACCCAAACCCTAATCCCAAAAGCCCCAAACCCTATAACCCTAACCCTAAACCCAAAATCCCTGAACCCTATAACCCAAACCCTAATCCCAAAAGCCCCAAACCCTAAACCCTAACCCTAATCCCAAAAGCCCCAAACCCTATAACCCTAACCCTAATCCCAAAAGCACCAAACCCTAAACCCTAACCCTAATCCCAAAAGCCCTAAACCCTAAACCCAAGCCCTAAAAGCCCCGAACCCTAAACCTCGAAAGCTTGCGAGTTGAAGGCATGGCCGCGGTTTACTCGAGCGGCTCCGGGCTTTCCTCGACGCGTGCTCGAAACAACTTTCTTCACGGCCCCAGAAACCCTAAACCCTAAACCCAAAACCCTAAAACCTATACCCTGCAAGCCCTAACCTAAACCCTACATCCTAAACCCTAAACCCTCCAGCCACAGCAACAAAGCTCAAACAATTAGCGACCCAAGGTTGGTTTTCCAAGCTTTGCACAAATCAATGTATACCTGAAAGCATATTCCGCCCAAAACGATCTTAAACCCTCAACCTTTCAAGAAGTATGAGAACACCAAGGTTGCGTCGATCCCGGCGGAGTGCACTTTGCCCTTACAGTACCTCTGAGAGGAACCCCGTTAAGGCCAGACTCTAGTTGGAAGGTCGTGGGACTTTGTAATTACACAAGTAGTAGAGTTGTAGTTATAATTAAGCAACCCCAAAAGGGATGCCATGTGGGGGTATGGTACTTTATATTTCTAGCAAACAACTTATTCGTAAGTCCACCGACCCCCCGAGTATAGTATGTAGGCACCTGGACACTCTCCGTAAGTATTTGGGGCTCAAGCGTCCCATAGCAGGCCCGATAGAACCCCATCAAACTCAACCGCACCCTTAGTTGTTGAGCTCAAAGTCCGTCAACCCCTTAGAGGAACCCAGCCCTAAGCTGGGCCTGTGTCCCTCTCAAGGATAACTAAAGGATCATGGGAGGGGAATATATTTGGGTAAGTACTTATAACCCCGATTAAGGTACATTCTAATTATAAGCACACCTCCTAAGTCCCATGTGCATAGAACCAGGAGTAGTTCAGAGCCTCTTCATCCAACCGCATCGCAGCCCGCTCAGCGAAGTTCGTGACCGTGTGGGTCTGAATCGGTTTCGGGCTGCGGATTTACCCTAAGGCTCCATGTACCCATATTATATGCTTGCGCCTTGAAGTACCTTTTTTCGGGGCCCGTTTAAGGCTTAAGTATCTACTATACAGGTACATGGAGCCCTTGGGTTAGGGAGCAAAACCCGAGTTTAGGGCTGTGCGTGTAGGGTTGAAAGTACCTCGGGCTCTAGTTGCCCAAATGGTAGGTTACTAACCATGCATTATTTGCCACAAGTAACCTACTATTGTTCAGTTAACTTGAGCCCAAGGATTTTCAGGTCTAGGAGTTTAGGGTTGAGGGATGTTAAGTTTTGCAGGGCTTAAGAATAGGCTTCTCCTCGCTGCAAAGGAAGGACTGGTTTGAGTGGTTACATTCACCTAACGGGGTTCCTTTAAGGGGTTACTATAAGGGATCCATAAGCGTTTTGGGTTTAAGCGTTTATGTACACAAATAGGATATAGCTTGGCCCCAAAGTATCTGTACTACTTTCAGGCCGAAGTATATACTACTTGAGTAAATTCTAATTGGACCCTTAGGGCTCATCTACGATGAAGAATGCTCGCATCCCTGGTCATGAATACTCATGAAACTTCCGGTGCGGCTCCGGATGCGACGTACTTTTGGCTTGCGACTGCCCTGAGGGCTTTGGGGGGAGGAGGGATCACTGCACTGTTGTTGTCGGCTCGCCATGCCAAACTCAGATGCACTATAAATACATATATATATATATATATATAGATATATGTGTGTATGTGTATATAAATATATGGGTCGGAATAAGCAGTCTTAGCCCCCTTATGGTCCCTAGTCGAAGTATCATATCACGTACCCCCAAGCCCTACTCTGGTCATCAAGGCGCCTCTCTTGTTTCAACTTAGGGTTTAGGGTTTAGGGTTTAAGGGTTTAGGGTTTAGGGTTTAGGGTTCAGGGTTCAGGGTTTAGGGTTCAGGGTTTAGGGTTTAGGGTTTAGGGTTTAAAACTTGCTTCTCATGTTCCAGGCACCTCACTATCAGCACCCCTTAAGTGTACATGTACCCAAATAGTATATACTTTGGCCCCACAGTCTTTATTTTTTGGGTACTGCCCCCATACAGTAACAGTCTATAAGAAGGCTACGATTAAGGTCCTAATATATCCATGTTATGAATCTTCTCCAACTGTTACTGAGTGGGGGCAGTACCCAACTTGTTATAGGGACTACAACTAGGTTGGCCCCTTAAAGCCTCTGAAAAAATATTCGTAAATAGGGTCCTACTAAGCCCAATAAGGGAAAACATAACATGTCCCAAAGGCCTACCTAGACAATGATCCCGAAGGCCTGCACAGGAAAGCTAAATCCCCGTAGTCAGGAGCTTCGCACTCCGGGAACTCTAGGGGCCTTACTAACTAGAATGGGGTTTTGCTTAGGAGTTGGGGTTTAGGTAGGGAAATCCTAATCTCTACAGTCCCTTAAAGGGGTCTATAAGTAAGGGTTACTATAAGGGTACTATAATATAGGGGCCTTACTAATTAGAATGGGTTTGGGGGCTCATTCTAGTACCTATAGTCTCCATTGTAGTTCCTTTTTTGGTTAACCGGTTTTATGGTTAGGATCCTATAATCGAGATTTGGGTTAACCAAAAAAAGGGAACTACAATTGACATCTGAATAAGCAAGCCCAAAATTCTTTGGGTAAGTACTCAGGCCCCTGTATTACTGGGCGTTTAAGTAACCAGGGAGAAAAAAGTATAGACTTTTATTTCATAATGGTTCAATTAAGAAAAAAAGTATTAAAGTATGGTACTCCGAAGCCCAGATTATCGGCAAACAACCGATCTTCGGAAATTGATGCCTTGCCGCTGCCCGTGGCGCCGTAGGCAAGGATGGAAACGGCCTCAGGCCACAAAGTCCGGGCTTACAGCGGGGTTTGAGAAGTAAGGCATTAGAGTTTAAGGAGTTTGGGGTTTAGAGTTTTAGGGTTTAGGGTCTAGGGCCACAAAGCATCTCTTGTTGGGGCCTTCAATCAATAGACAGCTGAGCACTTTCTCAACATGTCGAACCAGCAGTCCTCAACGAGCCCATGAAGGTTGTACCAATATCTTTGTTGACTCCGCATGATTCCTCATGGAGGAAAGACTTCATGAGTTGAACAACCCCCCCATAGCACCGAACCTAAAACCTTAAAACACCAAGCGAAGGGTAGGGCTTACGTGGCAGAGGCTATGTGTGGTTGGGCTGTGCTTGTGCCCTCCGTCCTCGCATTCACTTGAACCCTCCACAATCCGCAGAGGCAAAAGGGATTCTACAACGTTGCTTTCTTGGGAGGGGGTTAGGGTTTAGGGTTTAGGGTTTAGGCTTTAGGGCTTAGGGTTTAGGGCTTAGGGTTCTGTCTTGCCACGGTTCCTTGGTTGGTCGAACTGTTAATGTTGCTGCTAACTTCTGGCTATCTTCATGATCGTCACAATGGATGACCGTCAGTGCTAATTCCCCAGACCCCCGGGAAGATCCAAAAAGTAGATCCCTATGTGATATGGGGGGTTCCTATAAAGTACCCTTAGCAGTTTAGGGCACCAGACTAGGGGATCTACTTTCTAGATCCTCCTGGGGGTCTGGGTCAGTGTAAAGCCCTGATCCACAAGTGTGTGCTCTTACAGTGGCATCGTATGGGCAGCAGGGATCTCCATACAATCCCTAAGACTCTATGTACCCATATAGCAGGTACTTAGGCCTTAAAGGGGTCCCTATATAGGTAGTTTTAAGGCCTAAGTACCTACTATGTGGGTACATGGACCCTTTGGGAAATGGCCCCCTGAACAGGCATCTGCGGATTCTATGATGTCATTGCGAGATGGCCCACTGCAATTACAACCTGAAAAGCCGAACCATGTGGGCAATAGGGTTCTGCAAACCATTCTCAACATACAGTTGCAAGAGCCGAACGCCGAACAAAAACACTGCAAAGCATGCACAACCTTGAGATAGAAAAAGCGAATCACGATATTCTCAGTATATACAGACCCCCAAAGCCTAAACCCCAAACCTTAAAAACGCCTAAATGACCCTCAACCCCCAAATTGCGCCTCGCCCGCTAATGCTGCTTGCAGCTCCTCCTGCAGCTCCTGAAAAACCTGAAAAACAGAGTTGAGCCTGTAGGGTTTAGGGGTTTAGGGTTTAAGGGGGAAGCGGTTAGGGGGCTGTATAGCCCTGATAAAGGACTTGATAAGAACCTAGAAAGGCCCCCTACTCACCTAGTGGTTTCCAAGATATGGGGTTCCTTTACGGGTTCCGACAAGGGTTCGCTAACTCTCCAGAGGGTGTAGCATTTGGGGTTTGGCTAGAGCTGTGGATAATTGAATTTGCTTTTGTTCAGGGGTTCCATAGAATCACTACCTATAGTCTCCATTGGAGTTCCTTTTTTGGCTAACCAAAATCTCTATGATAGGTAGGATCCTAACCATAAAACTGGTTAACCAAGAAAGGAACGACAATGGAAACTATAGGTAAAATCACTAACGGCATTCAGGAAAACAGTGGTGCTGCACTGCTCAGCTGCCACTTCCAGCGTCTCTTTTTCACTCGGGCGGAGCAGGTCAAGGCACATAACGTGGATAAGCCACAGCAGATTGCCTCGACGCACTGCTCTTTCCTACTTACTTACATAAAAGCCGCGAAACTTCAGTGTACTCTGTAGTCGCTACTAGACTTCCCTACGGCTCCAGTTGCCCAAATAGTAATATAGGGCCTAAAACATCGAATAGGGCTATTTGGGGGCCCATTATACTCTGGTTATAACAAGGAGCCACCAAAACAGTATTGGTAATTAGCCCCTATATATTAGGTTTCTAGTCCTACAGTGTTGAACCCAGTAGCCCTTGATTTGCCTAAGCCCTAAACCCTAATCCCTAAGCCTAAACTAAACCCTAAACCCTAAGCCTAAACCCTGAGTAACTGGAGCCCGGGTGGCTCGGAATGCGTATCTGCGTTCCCAGCCAGAATGTCTCAGGAGCCGCCACAACCCTGAACCCTTTCTTTAAAGGGCTCCCTCAAGGGATCTATGGCAGTTCTATTAGGGGGCTTACAGTAGAAGCTCAAAAGTTGGAACCCAATAGCCTCAATCCTTAAGAGAAACCTATAGGGAATCCCAGCACTATTTGGCCTTAATCTTGTTTCCAACTTCCTGGGGTTTACTGTAGGGTACTTTTATAACTACTTATAACCCCAATTAAGGTACTTGTAACTTATAGCCATACTTACTAAGTCCTACGATCCTCCAAGTAGAGGGGAAGGGTACTTAAAGGATCATGGGACTTAAACCCTAAACCACTAAACGGCGATGGCGTCATCCTCAAGGCGCCATGTGCCTCTCTACGGTTGATGATAAACATAAAACCGGTTACATCATAAAATGGAACTGCCATGGAGTTCTATAGGGGCAAACCTTAACCCCAAATAACCCTGATTACCAATATTATTTCGGTGGTTATCTGTTGAAAGTATTGCAGCTTAGTAATTAGTACCCCATGGCCCGATTCTAGCTATTAAGGCCCCTACACTAGGATGCCCAGTAACCTAGCAATAGGTATTGGGTAACTTTATAAGGGACCTAGGTCTACAAAAAGGAATAAGGGTACTACTGGGCATCCTAGTATATCACACTTTTCCTGCCATTCGGCGAAAATGAAGCCACCCAACCCTAAACCCTAAACCCTAAACCCTAAACCCTAGAATCCAAAAGCTTCATCAAAGAACCCTCGGCGGGTCCAGGGAGGGGTTACGGTGTGACTTGAACTTCGCACCACAAACTGCCACAAACCCAGCAGGGCCTTTTGGAGGGGATATGCCCTGACAGGAGAATCTCCGGCTAACCCTGAAGAACCTACCTTTTTAGGGCTCGCTGCAATAATTTCCTTATATAAGTCCTTAAAAAAGGTAGGATATTCAGGGTAAAGGTAGGGCTTAGGGTTTAGGGATGTTTAGGGTTTGGTGTATGCAGGTTTAGGGTCCGGCGCAAGTTGTTATCCGACGATCCGGCGGCACTTGCTGTTGAACCCGGCTGCTCGAATCTCAGAACTACAAGCTTTGCTGAATGAAGAGTCTATAATAAGATCTATGACCTGTGACCTTGAAGCGGGAATTGAGTTTCCCTGGGCCCAGTGATTCGAGATGAGATAGCGGTTCCTGTGCAGTGAAAAGCAGCTGCAACATACATATTATGTCTCACCATGCATCCGAGTTCCGGCTGACTTGAACCGGGACATCAGAAGACTGAACGGCACAATTATAGCCGTAAAGCAGGCCGGTCCTGTGCCTCAAAACCATTGCTTCTCGCGGAACAGCTCCTGGAATATGGTAGCTCGTCTCTCTACGCTGAGCGCCGACAAACCTCCGACGCAGGAGCCATGAGACCTTGGCATCGGCCTTGGCCTCCCAAACGGTGTAGGCGACCACCTTGAAAGATTTGAAATGCTCTCATTGATGCCGACCGCGAGATCTTTCTGAGGCCTCCTCTCAGCCTCCTCAGCGATCGGAGCAAGAGGTCGCACGACCGGAAGACGCGCGGCCCTGCCCTCCTCCGGATCACTCAGAAACAAGACGATCTCGGGGGCCTCTTCGAAACGCACCATCCGTCCCTCCAAGTCCGGCAGCGCAGGCCGGGAAGTGCTGCGCATGCTGCTTGCCGGGCTTGAGGACAGAAGAACGGCTGGACCGGATTTGGATCGCTTCCTCCCCTGCTCCTGCGGCGAGGCCTCTGAGACCGGGGTCGTCACCACATATTTGCGAGGCGGCCTGGTACGCGGAGGTGGTGTCGAGGGCTTCTGCGGCACAAGGGAGGTCCTGGGCGTTTAAGTAACCAGGGAGAAAAAAGTATAGACTTTTATTTCATAATGGTTCCATTAAGAAAAAAAGTATTAAAGTATGGTACTCCAAAGCCCAGAGTCATGGAAAGTTGGAAATCGTGCAAGATCTCTCGAGTATCCCGAGGATCTCACTCACTGGCAGAAGGCACAAAGCGGTAATAGGGCCTTGAACAGTGAGGATAGGTTATTGGGGGATACTTTGGGATAAGTATCGAGGGAGTATAGCATAGGCGAAGGTTACTAGATATTCCGATCATCGCATCTGCTTCTGCGCCTCGAGCCAGACCAGTGCGGGCCAAAACAGGAGATGCATGACAGAACCGCCGGAGAGTGACGAAGAAGAAGCAATAAGCTCTTGAGCTTTATGCAAATCTGGGGACTTATGACTGCATCATAAAGTGCAGATGCAATTCGGCTCGATGTTCCCCTGCAGGACCCTCAACCTGCAAACTCAAAAGTACTGGCAACTTGAACACAAGGAGTCGCCAGAGTATCAGTCATACAGTACCTCCCGGATTGGCATCGAGGAACCATTGCATGTGAAATGGTTGGGGTGCCCTAAATCCTATACACTGATCCTATAGACCCTAGGAGGCGGCTAGGGGAACAGCAGCAGGCCCTAAGCCAGCTAAGCCAGAACCGTTCTTACCGTTGCGGCTTTGCCATCCAATACTACAAGTCACAGGTCACAGCCTTTCGCGAATTTAATTGGCCTCTGAGCCATACGCCTAGGCTCCATAGTAGCGCCGTTTTAGGATTACCTTAAAGGATTCAAGATTTGAACACCAGAAAGGAACCACTATGGAGCCTCTGGGTAAGCCACAAGCCCTAAACCCCAAACGGGCTGAAGGTTTAGGAGCAACTCTTTGCTGCTGTTGACTCTGCTCCCCTCTTACGGCCTGGTCGTCGGTGACGGTCGCATCAAAGACCTCTCTGCGAGAGAAACCAACAACCCATGACCTGCTAGAGGTTCATGGGGTTTCAATTATTTCCGGATTTTAGGCAGGTTTATAAGGGTGTTAAAGTCACAGACTTGTAGGCCGCTGATTCTTAAATCCCGTGTCTTCGACTGCCTCCTCATGAGGGTCCCATAATACGTAGAGCTTACTACGGCTACTGCGGCAATATGGCTTATTACTCAAGGACCCATATTTGTCCCAAACTCCCTGAATCCAATGTATATCCCAAAGTCTCTGCTGATGCGGATTACATCCCGGGAAGGGCTTAATTACGGGCCCTGCCAATCCCTTATGCAACAGCTTCCAGCTGATTTTCGCCTTGATACCATACACAAACCTAAACCCTAACCCCAACTCCAAAGCCCAAGACCGCAAACACCACGGTTAAAGCAGTGCCTTGTCGAATGAGAAGGTCCGAGATTCTAATTCGCGGAGTCCTGGCTTGAGGGTGCTTTGTGTTCTTGTCTTAGGGTTTAGAGTTTAGGGCTCAAGGCTTGTAAGGCTCAAGGTTTAGGTTTAAGGCTTATAATCAGTATAACTTATGAAGCTTACTGCTTAAAGTTTAGGGTTTGCCTAGCGATCCGCGCAGACCGGGCTACAGTCTCAAAGTAGGGTGAAGGGTCCTAGGTAATTACCACTTTGCGGGATACTTCCTCAAATCATAGCAGTAACTCCTAGCATAGAGACCCTACATGGCTCCCTACATTCTACTTTGTAGGTACTTAGGACCCTTTGGGTGGTGCGAAACGAACAAGCATGAGGGACCCAAAAAGCACATAAGCATAAGCATTTTACCGGGATATCCCTACCTTATTGGGCTTCCTTTTAAGGGGTTTATATGGGATATCCCTATCCTAGTTTTTGCTTATGTGCATGTTTGGAGCCCTAAAGCAGCTGGGAGGAATCATCTTGCAGGGCAGGTAACACAGTCAGTGTTTAGGGTGTCTAAACCCTGTAAACTCTAAGAAGACCTGTGTAAGGACGTGTAGTACCGGGACATCATGCCAAGGAACCCTAAGAAGGTAGGTTATAGTGAGTTCAGGAAAGGCTTGCAAATCCTAAACCCTAAACACCCAAACCGTAACCTCCTAAACCCTCAAGTCGATAAAATCCTAACCCTACCAGCACCCCCCAACTACCCTCTACTATCCCCTAAATACCCACTACTAAGGACCATAAGGGCTCTATCAAAGGGTACTTGGGGGGGCTGGTAAACTATACTGAACTTAGAACCCTAGCAAAAGTTATAGTTTTAGCTGTTTCTCAGGGATTATAATAACCAAAGACTAAAAATGTTGTTCTAAGTACCCCGAAGTAAATCCTAAAGCCTGAATCACCCTAAGTTGCTGCGGCCCAACGCTCGAATTTCTCAAAGGGGAAAAGGAGGGACCCTTAATGGGGACCCCTACCCTATAATGGGCTATATAATGGGTATATAATGGCTATATTAAGGGTATATATCTAGGGGTCCTTATTCAGGGTCCCTCCTTTTACCCTTGGAATTTCATGAATTCCAGATTCGAGGTGTCGTGAAGCTTTGGTTTAGGGTTTAGGGTTTAAGGGTTTAGGGCTGAAGGGCTTAAGGGTTTAGGGGTTTAGGGTTCAGGGGTTTAGGGGTTGATAAGGGTTTAGGGTTTAGGGTTGGGGTTCCTGAAGGGGTGCCTATAAAGGCAACTTTAATCATGTATCAGGCTATAATAAGGGTTTAGGGCTCAGGGGTGTATAAGGGCTTCGGGTTTAATTAGGGGTGTATGGATGTTCCGCACTTCGGGGTCTTATGTTGAAAGTTAGAAGAGCTAGCTGCCGCCGTCAAACTTTATAGCTGCCCACCATACTCGAGGCAGTATCAATCCGACAACCCAACCCTGCATCCAAAAACCCTCAACCCTGAACCCTAAACCCTAAGCCCTAAACCCTAAACCCTTAAACCCTAAACCCTGAACCCTTATAGCCCTTTATTATAGCCCCTTAAAAGAACCCAAGAACCCTCAACCCCCAGAACCTAGAACCCCGCGGTGCTTCGAAACAACAGGCTTCAGAAATCTGGTTTGCGGGTTTAGGGTTTAGGGTTTAGGAAGGGGTCCTTCTAAAACAACGGTTCCTACCTTAATTATCATATAGCCTCCATTGTAGTTACTCTTTTATGCTTGAGCCCTGAGGGTCCAAGTACCCAATCATCATGTACTCTCCAAAATAGTAACCTACATAACTACTATCCTAAAACCGAGCACCTAATTATTGTATCCTTTTGGACCCTTAGGGTAATTAACCGGCTGCATAGCTGCCAGCCTGTATAAAGGTACACCCCAAATCAGGAAACACAATGGAGACTGTGGACACGGCCCCCTTTGTCTGAAACTCACGATGTTATAAATCCTGCATTACCCATAATAAGGTATATCATACAACTATACCATAATTCCCATAGTTTAGTACGGCCTTTTGTTGTCTGAAACTCACACAGATCTCTGCCTGAAGCACCCGCCGCCGCGAGAGGTGAAGGCCTGGCGAATACAATTGCAGCTCTACCTTCCCAAGGGTCCATGTACCCCTTAATTAAGGAATATACCTTAAATTATAGTAGGATCCCTTATATGATTTAAGGTATATTCCTTAACCTCTAGGTGGGTTTGGAGGGTCGGGGGACTTAGTAACTGGTTATTTTGGGGACTTATATTATAAGTATCATAACCCCAATTAGGGTCATTTTTAGGGTACTTATAAAAAGTCTACTTACTACCCACTTACTAAGTCCCCCCGACCCTCCAAGTACCTTGTCCTGGGTTTTGGGTTGAGGGTTCAGGGCTTGGGGTCTAGGGTTTAGGGCTTAGGGTTCAGGATTCAGGGTGTCACAATTGTAGTTCCACTTTGGGGCGGGGGGGTTTATGACTAAGGGTTTGAGGGTTTAGGGTAGACTGCAGGTAGGAAGAGCTATGCACTGTGTCTGCTTGAGGGTTAGGATTTCGGGTTCATGGTTTAGGGTTTTTGGGTGCGCTATTTAGGGCTGTAGGGGTCTTAGGATGGTTGCGGGTTTGTAAGGTTTAGGACTTAAGGTTTTGGGGACTGCTGGGCTGTGCACAAGATCTACGATGTTTAGCTTTGGCGCGGGGTTTTGGGCTACTGCTGGGCTTGACTCTGCTATATGATATGTGCTCGCAACAATAAGCCCCAAACCCTAAACCAAACCCGGAGCCCTGAAGCCTGAATTCGGATCCTTCACTCCCAGCTTTGCCAGTGCGTCGGCAACTCCCTAAGGCTCCACGTCGCCAGATTGTACTTACATAGGGTTTGGAATTTAGGGCTATGAGGAACTACTTTAAGCCGTAAATATGTACTGCATAGGCACATCGACTGCCGCCCTTATCCCGGGAAAGAGGCAACCATAGAAACAAGAAGCAAGAGAAAGGCCCCATGCAGACCAGGTTACAGAAATGCCCAACTTAGGGTGAACTTGGGTTTAGGGTTTAGGATACCGGGTTTGACCTGCTGCCCCCTTTGAGTGTATTACCAAGCAGGCGGGAGGAGTAAGAGAAAGCTGCAGCCCGGTAGCCAGGCCCTTCAGGTGCAACCCAGTGAATTCCGATCAGTGTACCTCGAGGATCCATAGTAGTTCCTTTTGGGGGTTCATATTTAGAATCCTGTAAGGTGATCCTAAGCAGGAACTACTATGGAGCCTATAGGCATCTGAAGAGTCACTGAACCTGTACTGATTGCAGTCGCGGCAGGAAACGAAGCCAATAATAACTTAGTTGCTGAGTTCATAAGGTCCCAAAAGTGTACACTTTTAGTTTTAATTATCCCAAAAAGTGTAAAGTGTATCCACTCAGCTACTAGGAAGTAAGAAGCCAGGAGCACATGTCAAACCACCCGCCCGGCCGGACGGTATCTGACAAGGTGTCTGCTGACCTCCCGGGACCGGAGTAGGTGGGAGCATTAATCCCAAAGGGAACTAGGTACTGTTATGGGGGATACTTCCCCTAATCATCATAGTAAGTGCTAATATAGGAACCCTGCATTCTACCATATAGGTACTTTGGACCCTTTGGGAATGTAGGAACCTGATTAAGAAACCCCGGGGCTTTATTTGGGTTCCTTATTGTATATGAATCCTACTATATTGGGGGTTATATGGCCAGGGTTTCTTAATCAGGTCTCTACATTACTATATGGGGTTCGGGCTTTCGGACATGAGGGGTTTACGATGCCCCTGGGAACATCTGTTGAAGGACTGGGGGCCAACACTGCCGCAGCAGCCGCAGATCTAAGTTTCGGTGGCGAATGCGCCACGAATGGTGGAGCACGCCCGGAGGGCAGGTCCCAAAACGTCTTTGTTCAGGGTTCACCTAGCCGGCTTCTGCCCAAAACAGATAAAATGTTGAAACTACTGTACTGGACTGTAAGACATAACTCTGGTAAAGATCCAACTTATGACTCACGTTCGTGCCATGCTGCGATATCCTGAACCCCAAACCCCAAACCCTAAAACCATAAACCCTAAAGCTCCAGACCCTCAAATCCTAAACCCCAAACCCTAAAACCCTAAAACCCTAAACCCTACCCCTACACCCCAAACCCCAAACCCTACCCGTAAACCCCAAACCCTTGACCCTGAAGCGAGGTGCGTGTGCGGGGAAGCCGAGGTTCGAGCCTACAGTTGCCAGCGTTCGGAAGACCACCTGGCACACTGGAGCGCCCGGGCAACCGAGACGACGTGGTCCAGGGTTTAGGGTGTAGGGCCAGGGTTTAGGGCTTAGGGCGTAGGGTTTGGGGTGCGGGATGGATTTGGGCTTAATTGGTTTAGGTTTGTGTTTTTCTTGGTTTAGGGTGTTAGGGTGTGGGGGTGTTGAGGTTTAGGGTTTAGAAAGACTAAACGAAACTCCAAGACAGAGCCTACACTTTGGCCAGCCTGAAACTCCAAACCCTGCCCCAAAGCTCGAACCCCTATCCCCAAAACCTACACCCTTTCTGAACCCCACTATAGTCCCCAACAAAACTAGATGTCTATTACTATTGTTGCTCATACTGATATGATAGGTGTTATTGCTGTTCCTTGGTTTTCCTATAGCTTATTATTCTTCTTTTTATTTTTATTCCCGGAAACCCTCTTCGAGTTCCCTAAACCCTAAACCCAAGATCTTCGCAGGGCGTGCCGATAGTGCGCCGTCGACTTCGGCCGTCGGTAAGATGCGCCCTTGGCTCCTGGAGCACCTTCAGCTTGAGAGTTACTAAACACCCAAAGGGTCCTAGGTACTGCTGTGGGGGATACTTCCCCTAGGGTTTAGGGTTTAGGGGTTTAGGGTTTAGGGTTTAGGGTATCATAATGGTAATTGCTACTATAGGAACCCTACATTCCACCACATAGGTACTTTGGAGCGTTCGGGAAAGGGATATAAACCCTAAACCCTAATATGGGTTCCCTTGAGACTTCCTATAAGGGTTCTACATAACTTGAGCTTGAGAGTTCCACTTAGTTGCTGAGTTCATAAGGCCCCAAAACGTGTATACTTTTAGAGATATAGTGGGCAATATTACCCCAAAAAGTGTAAAGTGTATCCACTCGGCTACTAAGTCCAAAAAGGGATATGGCTTCCCTTGAGACTTCCTACGCAAATATAAGGGTTCTACATAACTGGGGTTCTACATAACTAGGGTTAAAAGGGTTGCCGGCTCGGGGTGTTTTCTTTACTTACTTTACTTAGGGCTTCTAAGCTCTAAACTAGGTTTTAAGGTTTACGCTTTAAGGTTAGGGTTGATAGAGGGGATGGTGGCTTTTCGGTACAGGAAGTTTTTGGTTTAGTGGGTTCAGAGGGGGTACAAGGTTTCGGGCCTGGATTCTAGGGCGTAGAGATGCGTAGAAGGTTCGAGAACTTCGAGGACATATTTGAGCATGACAAATTTCTTGCAGGGTTCCTCTGGAATGCCCCAAACACTACAGAAATAGCCTATCTTAAAACACTTGTAAAAATCCTACAAGCCCTATGAAGGGTTGTCTATCATTCAAAGCTATGGAGTGTTCGGGTCTGTGTCTCGCAGAGCTAAGCCTTGCATACAGTTTGGCGAATAGGGCCTTCAGGCAATCTTGACCCTGACAGTGTAAAACCTTGGATGGAAGGACCTCAATCACCTGGCAAAACTTCAACGAGATGAGACTCTGTCATCACGAGCAGGACACCCATTCAACAAGGCATCCCTAGTTTCCAGAGGCCCCTTTTAGACTCTTCAGGCTTCAGGGTCGGAGCCTCCAGCTGTGCGCTGCCGATGGGCCTCAAGCACGGCACGACCGTCTCCTGCCACCATCATGCGAGCAAGGTTTCTTCATGTTTCTCCATTCATACACCGCCAGAGTCGGGGCAATAGTATGATCCCTATCTAGGATCCTTGGTCTCTCCGGCAAAACGTAGATTTTGCAGGAGGCAAGTGTTCCTGGTCATTACATAGTACATTCTCCCTCTCGTAGATTATGTATGGTATATTACACGATGCTCTAGTAGACCATCGTATCTATGATTATTTACACTTACCGCATACGCTGACCCTAACAAGCCTTCGGTACCATCATGTTGTTTAATGGGGTTTGGGCTTAGGCTGCCTGCTCCGAGTACAGTCAACTCCTACCAACACAGGTAACTTGGATGCATACGGATTTACAGACCAGCCTCATGCGCAAGCATGTAAAATGCTCAGCTCTAATCGTATGCGAAAAATCCCGAACCTGACCAGCACCGTACGACACTTTCAGATAAGAAAAAATCCACATAGAAAGACATCTTAGTCCCTGTGGCAGGTGTTAAACTCATCCACACCAGTGAAACGGAAGTCCCTCAAACGTGTAAGCCCAATTGTGCTTTGAATATTAACACAGAGCAAAGCATAAACTGTTATTTCATACTGGATCCTTTCAGGAGCAACAGCAAACAAGTAACGAAGTATTGCTGAACCCAGCTAAGCAGCTTAAGTAGGGATTCCCATACTTTACCTTACTGAGGGTAACACAAAGGTCTGGAACACTTCTAAGGCTTGGTTGATATGACTATAGCCTTCTTGGTATAGTATATCCTAAAGCCCTATTCTGATTGTATGATGAGGAAAGTCATGTCCGAACCTTGGTTGCTGAGTTCATAAGCCCCAAAAATGTACACTTTTTAGTTGTATGGTGGGTGATATTGCCCCCAAAAAGTGCAAAGGGTATCCACTCAGCTACTAGGGCACCTACCTTCATCCTGCCTTTTCCAGGCCAATGGCACCCTGAGCACTGGAAACCCAAACACGATATGCACGACACTTACGATGTAAACTCTACATCCCATGTCCCCTGCACCCTGCACCCAAGATCCTCCTCAACCTGAACTCCTGCACTTACACTCTGAACCCTACTTGGAGGTTCATGAGTAGTTACAAGTAGGGTCAAATCCTAAGCCCAAAGACTCCAATATCCCTTAATCAAGGAATATACCTTAAGTTATACTAGGATCCCAAATATGATTTAAATAATATTCCTTAATTGAGGAACATACCTTAAACTATAGTTGGAGCCCTAATATGATTTAAGGAATAAACCTTAACTAAGGGATATTGGAAAACAAACTGAACTTAGAACCCTAGCAAAAGAATATAGTGTTAGCTGTTTCTCAGGGATTGAAATAACCAAAAATGAAAAACATCTAAGTACCCCTCAGGAACCCTCACCCCAGCTCCAAAGGCCCCAATAGCGCTCCTCTTCGTGAGGAAGAGATGGCCTTATCCGAGCGAGAACCCGGACCTGGTGCTACCGCTGGTTTAAGCTTTAGGGTAGGTTTTAGGGAGGTTTAGGGTTTAGGGTAGGTTTTAGGGAGGTTTAGGGAGGTTTACGGTTTAGGGTAGGTTTTAGGGAGGTTTAGGGTAGGCTTTAGGGAGGTTTAGGGTTTAGGGTAGGTTTTAAGGAGGTTTAGGTTTAGGGTAGGTTTTAGGGTAGGTTTTAGGGAGGTTTAGGGTTTAGGGTAGGTTTTAGGAAGGTTTAGGGTTTAGGGTAGGTTTTAGGGAGGTTAGGGTTTAGGGTAGGTTTTAGGGAGGTTTAGGGTTTAGGAGGTTTAGGGTTTAGGGTAGGTTTTAGGGAGGTTTAGGGTTTAGGGTAGGTTTTAGGGAGGTTTAGGGTTTAGGGTAGGGTTTAGGGTTTAGGGGCTAAGTACCTAATTAATTATCATATACTCTCGAAAACAGTAACCTACAAAACTACTATCATAAACCCGCGTACTCGATTATTGTGTCCTTTGGACCCTTAGGGAAAGGGTTTGGAGTTTTGAGAGACTTCGAAAAGGTTCGTAAAAGCGGGCGGGCTTGGGCTTTATGATTATGGGTCCAGTGTTCGAGGTACCCCTACCAGGGTTTAGGGTTTCTTTTTGATGGGGGGGGGGAGGGTTTGGGGCTTTAGGGGTTTAGGGTTTATGGGACTTTGGTCTAGAGCTATTGCTGCCGGTGTTATAAGCTCATACTCACCGTCCCTCTGAGCACTACCTCAAGTGCTGCTGGCACTGCGAACCCTCGCGCTGCTTCCGTACCTGGACCCTAAACTGCCCTAAACACCAAGACCCCTCAATCACAGAACCTCAACCCCCACTTCCTTACCTTTGGTTAGTAGGGAATGGAAGCATGGTAGTATTAGTAGCTATAATTGTACCCCATTCCTCAATTCCCTACTAACCAAAGGAAGCTTCAGGATTTCTCGGCCCAGGGCCTGGATAAATAGGTAGGATTATTAGGGAGACCCCTTAAAGGGCACCCCTTCTGAACCCTACTTCTGGCTCTCTTAAAAGGGACCTTATTGAGAGGGTCTTTATCCCCAAGGGTCCCCCTAATCCTAACTCCCAATAAAGGCGGACTTCCCAAACCCTAAACCCGAAACCCCTAAACACTTCAGGATTTCTCGGCACAGAGCCAGGATAAAGGCGGAAGGTGTTCAGGTGAATGTATCCATGCCGAACGGGTGGTTCGCACATATTCTTGGGATCCCCAACCTCATGTTTGTTCCGGGTTTAGGGTTTAGGGGTTTAGGGTTCAGGTTTTAGGGGTGTTTAGGGGTTTAGCGTTTAGGGGTTTAGGGTTTAGGTTTTAGGGGTTTGAGTGTTTAGGATTTAGGGGTTTGGGGTTTAGGGGTTTTGGGGTTTAGGGTTTAGGGTTTAGGGGTTTAAGGTTCCTGTCGGGTTCAGATGATTGAGAGCCTGACACTATGTCCACGCGGCGCAGCCATGGTGCGCCTGCGAGATCTTGGGGCAGATGATGTCTAGGGCTTTCGGCTCCGTTTCGGGTGTTGGGCCGAGGGTGTAACAACGCCCGAAGGCTCACAGGGCTTACAGTACTCGAAATAAACGAACCTGCCGCTTGTATAGTATAGGATCCGCCTTAAAGTTGTGCATTGCACCACCGCCAGCACCACCAACGCAAACAATGCCGACGACAAAACAAAATACACCCTCAACCACGAAAAGTTACACCGAACCCCTATTAAAAAACTTTCTCCAGGATGCTCAGTAACCTAGGAATAAAAGGGGCTCGCTTTTGGGTATTGGGCACCTTTATAAAGAACCTAGGACTACAAAAAGAGAATAAGGGTACTACTGGGCATCCTATAGTAGAAGCCCAAAAGTTGGAAACCCCATAGCCTCCATCCCTAAGAGTCATGTATCGGGAATCCAAGCACTATTTGACCTTAATCCGGTTTCCAAGTTTATGGGGTTTACTCTCAGCTCTACTTATAATACCCCTGAACCCTAAACCCTATACCCTTATAGAATCCCTATAGATCCCTTTAAAGGACCCCTATGAACCCTACTTAGAGTTCTAGTGTTTGGTGGCTTTTACTGTAGTTCTGATGTCTTGTACGAGTACAGAGTCGAAGAAACCCTCCGGCCACTTCCTGCTTCAATTACCCCAAGGATCCAAAGGGCCCAATAATCAGGTACTCGGTTTTAGGATAGTAGGTATGTAGGTTAGGATTTTGGAGAGTGTATGATTATTGGATACTTGGACCTTTGGGGTTAGCTATACTGTTTTGGGGGCTCCTCATTAAATACACACCCAAACCCTATCCTAATTATTCATTATTAAGGCCCCGTTACTAATCCTTATAGTAGCCCTTATAGTTCCTCCCATTTCGCCAACACGTAAGCTTAGTCCTTAAAGGGCTCTATAAGGGATCTATAGTAGGGTTCTATATAGAAGCCTTAATACGAACTATCCTTAAAGGGCTCTATAAGAGATCTATAGTCGGGTTCTATATAGAGGCCTGAATACTTAGAATAGGGTCTTGGGTACCATTATACTAAAACTATAACTTAGCTTGCTGAGTTCATAAGCCCCCAAAAAAGTGTATACTTTTAGTTCTACAGTGGGTGACCTTATCCCAAAAAGTGCAAAGTGTATCCATTCTGCTGCTAAGTAAACTCCACACTTTTAATTCAATGCCAACTTCTGCATGAGCAGCTCGCTCCCCCTAAGCTTGTATTTTCGAGAAATTATATATATATATATATATATATGTATATATATATATATATATATTATATTGTATTATATTATATCATATTATATTATGTTATATTATTAACCCTAAGCTTTCCATAGAAACCTCAGACCCGCCACTTGGGAGGACGGAGGGCGAAAGGAACCCCAGACCGATCGGGCTCTTCTTTCATGGCTCTTCTTTCCTACTATTTGCTTAAGAACCCCCAAAAAATAAAAAATATATTCCTTATGGGGGTAATATAGGGATTATTATTTTTATTTTTTGGGTGTTTCTTAAGCAAATGGTAGTTTCAGATGGAGCTACTGTTGATGATATAAATCCTGCATTACTCATAATAAGGAATATACCGTAATTTCCATACTTTAGGGTCCTTAAGGTAACGCAGGGCTGATATCATCAACCGTAATTACTTATATAACTAGGCTTTGAAATGGAATCTGCACACCGTCCTGAACGAGCCAGGCTGCGCGGAACCCTAGGCTGCGAATGAAGAGGAGCTTCTCGCAGAAGACATGTGCGTTGAACTCGCGCAACAGCCGGATAAACCGCACGGATTTGTCTGCAAATGCGCGGTCACCTCTCGACGAGCATCGACGTGGTCCTTTGAGACTGCTGCCAGATAGTTCCTGGAAGTGTGCAAAGCGCGGCAACATGTGGCCGGGATGCCACTACCATCTGGTCTGTGGCTGCCACCACCGCCCAACTACGAAAAGCCAGGAACATCTACCTGCATGGAATAGGCATGAGGCCTAGGCTTGAGGACCTCGCCCTTCAACTTGAACATCATCCACTGCATGTGCCGCCCATGCAGCACACGAGGGTCTGACAGGGCGCAGGCAACAGGGCTCAGAATTCAGTAATAGTGTAATTCTGAATGGTTCCGGCCTAGGTCCGGAACGGCCAGTGTTGACGCATTGACACGCACCATGATCGCAGAGGTGAGGCCAATCCTATCTGAACGGAAACCTCTTCAACCTCAACCAAGCCCTATAAACCCGGCCTGCAACATCTAACTGCTAAGCTGTAACTAACCCTTCTGATAAACAAGTAAGAAAGCAAAACTACCCCAAACCTGAACCATAAAAGCCCCAAGCCCAAAACCTATTAAGAAGGCCAATGAACTGCTACAAGACCCTATACGACCCGCATTAACCCTGTCTGAAAAAGGTCAAAGCCTCTAACAACTGTGTAAAAGCCAAATCGCAAACCCGAAACCCCTAACTCGGAAACCCGACCCCAAACCCTTTCGAACCCTTACAGAACCCTTCTAGAAACCATCATAATACCGAAACCCTGAAACCTAAACCCTCAGAAACCTCAACAAACCCGGAGAAGAACTTCGTGAGAAGCCCAACGAAGCCCTAAGAAATTCCTGAAAAACATACACTACACAACCTTACGCAACCCTGAAAGAAGACCCCGACTCCTTAACCCTAATGCAGCCTTAGAAAGCCTAAGAACGGCTCCCGTAACCCAAAACCCTAAACCCAAAACCCCAAACCCTAAACTCTAAACCCAAAACCCTAAACCCCAAAACCTTAAACTCCCGTCCCAGGACGAGTCCCTGGCGCTTCAGCTGCGCCGCTTCGGCGCCTCGCCTTTTGCTTGGACTCTTCTTCTTATAACCACCCCTGAGCCTGCAAGAAGGGCTCCGAGTATACAAACAGTACGTAGCTTGGGGTTACAAGACTATAAAAGTACCCACTATAGGGCTACATACTGGGAGGTCCAGGGTACTTGCATATACTTTTTCTCCATACTATGATGCCTAGGAATAGCTAGTATTGTGAAGGAGAGTAGTACTACGTTGCTGTTAGCTCTTGCTATTGTTACCGTTGATACAATCACTAGTACTATTGCTATTGCAATTACAGGTACTATTGCCGTTACGGTTACTATTGCTCTTGCTGCATGTTGTAATAATGTTGCAAGTAACAATATTACTACAAGAATAACTGCTTTTCGTTGGTATTGCTAATGCATCTATGCTTCTGGTTCCGAATATCATATTCGTTCAACTATGACAATATTGTTACTCAGCTAATTTTTAAGACGGCCTCACTCAAAAATGTCACTATCCGGAAGATGCAGATTATATTTGTGATCATAGTGATTAGGCAGCTATGCTACACGGACGACGACGACGGCAACGACTACCACTACGACAATTTCAACCGTGGAAGCAGGACAGAACCTGGCGACGAGAAGTGCTAAACCCGAAATGTAAACCGTCGGGTCGTACTTGCAAGCTGCCAGCTCTGGCAAAGTCCTGGCACCGGAGGCGTCTGCGGCCTACACCATTAGGAGTTTTAGACTCATTGTAGACCTTGCGAAGCTTACTTGCTGAGTTCATAAGCCCTCCACAAGTGTATACTTTTAGATTTATAGTGGGTGCAACTATCCCAAAAAGTGGAAAGTGTCTCCACTCAGCTACTAAGGAATTGTGATGCAGGCTCCAGACCCTATAAACCATCAGCTTGTTGTTTGAGTTTGAGTCGCAAGCTCTAAACCCCTAAACCCTAAACCCCTAAACCCCTAAACCCTAAACCCTAAACCCCTAAACCCCTAAACCCCTAAACCCCTAAACCCTAAACCCCTTAACCCCTAAACCCCTAAACCCCTAAACCCCTAAACCCCTAAACCCCTAAACCCCTAAACCCCTAAACCCTAAACCCTAAACCCCTAAACCCTAAACCACAAACCCCTAAACCCTAAACCCTAAACCCCTAAAACCTAAACCCTAAACCCTAAACCCCTAAACCCCTAAACCCCTAAACCCCTAAACCCTAAACCCCTTAACCCCTAAACCCCTAAACCCCTAAACCCCTAAACCCCTAAACCCCTAAACCCTAAACCCTAAACCCTAAACCCTAAACCCTAAACCCCTAAACCCTAAACCCCTAAACCCTAAACCCTAAACCCTAAACCCTAAACCCCTAAACCCTAAACCCTAAACCCTAAACCCCAAAAACCCAAACTCTGAAGCCTTGTCGACCCTAAAGCATCAAAAAGCCTGATAAATCTGTGTTGCTAGGGTTCCTTTAAAGGGATCTATAGTAGGGTCCCTTTAAAGGCTACTATAGGGATCTATAGTAGGGTCCCTTTAAAGGGTACTATAGGGATCTATAGTAGGGTCCCTTTAAAGGCTACTATAGGGATCTATAGTAGGGGTTCCATGGTATGGGGGGGGCCTTGTTCATGTGTCCCACATACAAGTCGATATACAGAAAAAAGGAGTTTTTGCGAGCACAGAGGGCCCTCCTGGATACTATAAACGCCCAAAGGCCTCCGCAGACGCATCCACAACTTCAACAAGCACCCCTAAACCCTCAACCCCTAAACCCTAAACCCTTTACAGAACCCTTATAGATCCCTTTAAGGAATCCTTAAAGGATCCCTTTAAAGGAACCCTAAACCCCTCAACATCAGCATCAGCCCCGGATAGACTTTCATTAACACAACGACTCTTTTGAGACCTTATTAAAAGCCACCGACTCTCTCGTTGTTATGAACCCGGGACAGGGCCAGATCAAGAGCCTCGGCATTCCGAACGCATGGGGCTTCCGCCTCCGCCATGCACACCTGGGTTTTAGGGTTTAGGTATCAGGCTTGAGGGTTGAGAACTGCTTGTTAGCTTTTATAGTGGGTAATATTATCCCAAGAAGTGTAAAGTGTATCCACTCAGCTACTCAGGTTTTACAGAAGCCTAAAAACTTGGGCTTATTGTTGGTT